ACTGATCTGTCACTTCCACATTGAGATTCAGGCAGTGAAAACAGACTAGTGAATTCAATACAGATTATCAGTGATCAAATACTTATCCTTGGAATTCTTATGAACTATTAACCTTGAAATCAGGGGGAATAGGTGGGGAAGGGCCTCATTTAACACTCCATAAAAATAGTTGGGAAACTGATTAATCACCAAAGTTTACAGCATGCTTCTTAAATGTCTGAAGCCAATTTTACAATGCATGCTCCTCCTCCAGCGTGTCACAGGTTTTCTGGCAAGATTCAGTTATATCTCTGAGTCCCAGCTAACACATTACTAAGTCTCCTTAGTTGAAAACGTTAAGCAAATTTTATGCTAACTGCATTCTATGTTCGAACAGATCAATTAAAAAAGAGTAAAAAGGTTAAATGCAGTATGTGGCCGTGCTATAATTTTTCACATGCTACTTAACCATAGCTGTTCTGATTAATAGATATATGTGCAGACATCAAGTTAGTTACCTTGTCTTTGAGTTTTTCTATGCATTTCCAGATACATCTTAAATGTTATCATTCCATGTTCCATGATTCTTGCTTTTAAATGCCAATGCCCAACACATTTAAAGTAATGATTTCTTGGAGGCCATCAAACCCCCCAAACTAGGAAAGCTTAAATTTGGGCCACTCCTTCCTGCTTTTCTGTTTTTTATTTTGTTTCTATTTCTATTGCATATTTATTTATTGATTGATTGATTGATCGCTCTCTCTATCAAAACTATTTGTATTTCTGTGTGAAGACTCTAATATTCCTCAGATGGTAGTATTTGTCTTCCTTGGGCTATACTTAGGAAAACTTACTTGTTTTGCATCTGGAAAATTAGTTTTATTAGATGCCTTTATCCTTGCACAGCCACAAAAGCAGGTTTTTCAGCTAAAGTTTGCTAAGTCCAATATGGTCGACCCAAGTTCTTGAATTCTATTCTCTTTAAAATAACACACGAAGAAAAAAAGACAGAGTTCCTGGAAAGGAATCCAAGGGATAGGAGGTGGCTTACAGTGGTTGGGTTCTGTTCATGAGCCAGCTGGTGAGTCACACCCAGGAGATTAGGCAGCTTGGTGTTGAGCGCACTGTACCAATGTGGTGCCAGACCGTGAAAATGACACATCTTGTTTTGAAGAGAAAAATACCATTCTCCAGGAAATGGTAAGATCGGAAAAACACATAAATGTGTGTGTTTGTAAGTGATTAGTTCAAACCTTGACTCACATATCACCTGGATATTAGAGGAAAGGCAAAGATAATAAAACTAAGTTTTGAGTTGAAAGGAGGCAACAAAATTTGCTAAAAAATTAAGTAGGCACCTGCCTCACCTCCAAGCCTCAGCAGGCCACTCTATTTTAGTTCTTTTTGGAAATCTAAGAGTGAACACAATACATCTCATTAAAGCTGTCAAGGGTTGTAGGGAGCCTGAACTATGATTCATCAGGGTTGATGCTTAAGTGTGATGAGGGCTTGAGCACTTAGTTGTCTGATGAGGATTTTTCAGCTAGTATCTTTATTTCCTTGAAAATGACATTTCTGTGTAAGGGAAATACACATAAGCTACTCGAATCTAAATGCTGTCTCTGCATTTTATTTTTTTCAAAATCTTAGAATAAGACAAGGTATGTAGCCCTTTGTTCTATCATACTCTAATTTAGTTTTCTAAGTTCATGTTAGATTTAACCCTCCAGCCCAGGAAGAAGATGAGGAGAGAGGCACGGGAATATAGGATTAACTCAGTCTCCCTCCCGGGTTGTCTAGGTCAGGATTCTCAAAATCAGGTTAGTGAGTTGGGGACCAGCACTTTTAAAAATTGGAATGACCCGCTCACTGGCTGAGCGAGGCGAGGGGGCAACACCGAGGGTTGCGATCCCGTTGCCGGTCCCTGTCCGGGGCGGGGGCGACACTGAGGGTTGCGATCCGTTGCCGGACATGGAAAAAGACAAAAAAAAAAAAAAAGGCCCAAATTAAAAAAAAAAATAAAAAAATTTTTTTTTTTTAATTTGGGCCTTTTTTTTTTTTTTTCCCTTTCCCGGAAATGAAAAAAAAAAAAAAAGGCCCAAATTAAAAAAAAAAATAAAAAAATTTTTTTTTTTTAATTTGGGCCTTTTTTTTTTTTTTTCCCTTTCCCGGAAATGAAAAAAAAAAAAAAAGGCCCAAATTAAAAAAAAAAATAAAAAAATTTTTTTTTTTTAATTTGGGCCTTTTTTTTTTTTTTTCCCTTTCCCGGAAATGAAAAAAAAAAAAAAAGGCCCAAATTAAAAAAAAAAATAAAAAAATTTTTTTTTTTTAATTTGGGCCTTTTTTTTTTTTTTTCCCTTTCCCGGAAATGAAAAAAAAAAAAAAAAAAAAAAAAAAAAAAATTGGAATGAAATAGAATGGAAAACATCAGAGTACTTTGTATGTCATAAGGCTAAATTTTAAAAATTGTATATAAACTCTGTGTGTGCACGTATGTTTACACTCATACACACTCATCATGTGTACTGGGTTGCAATATAGTATGTATATTTTACTGTAGTTAGTCTGAACACTGTGAAAGTCAGTGTTCCATATTAGAGATTATTCTCTTCTGAGTATTGGCTTTCCAAGTGATCCTGGGCTAAGGGTAGGTGGAGGGCCACTTTTTTCCAGCCTTACCTGACCAGAATGCCAACAGGTGTCAGAGTAAAGGCACAGATTAGGTTTCCAACACCTATACATGTCACATCACAAAAATAATTAGAGTCTTTTTATCTAACATCAGATAGGTTCTTCAGATAGTACTGTTGTGGGATACTGTCCCTGGATGACATCTTTGTGTGTCATTTGTTTTGTTTTTGTATTTACTTACTTTTTTCAATCCAGTAATATGGATGCTCCACTTTCCCCCTCTTTTTGGTACTTCCACCATTCTCCTTCCACCTTCCTTCTTTTCCTCTTCTTCTTCCTGTATGTTTGAATAGGTATTCCATGCACACCAAGAACACGATGTAGGTGATGTTGTAACCTTCTCAGTGTATCACATCTGGAGGGACACAGCTTCAGCCTGTCCCATTACTGCTAATTAATTTTTAAATTAAAAAAATTTTTTTCTGGATATACAAATTTTTCTGTGTGTGTGCATAAACACTTAGGCCATGTCAGCAGAGCAAAGGTTTCCTCCCTTATTTAAGATAGTGTTTCCCCCAGTTTCTCTTTATGTAGTTATTATGTTTCCTTTGTAATTAAAAAGTAATTTTTGAGAAGGTGCTTTTAGTGTCTGTCCTTATCAAACTTTCACTCACAAGTTTTAGCACTCATTAATGGCTCTTGCCTAGTAACGTAGGCTTTGACTGTTTCTCTGGTACTTGTCCTTCCTATTTTTAAAGGTCTTCTTAAACTTTTATTATTTATTAAAGAGGCTAGCTTTACTCCTGACCTCAGATTCAAATGCCTGGCCTCAAATTTTGCATGTATCTTCTAGCTTAGATTTTTGGTCAAACAAGTACTCACTAACGTTTATATTTCTAAGGTTAGTTTTAGGATACTCAGAGTATTTGGGAAACATTAAAAAAAACCAGCATATTCATATCTCAATGGAATTGTCAACAGTTAATTCAGAGACTGTGATAATTTTTTAAGGCTTTTCTAAGAAAGAAATCTGTATGTTAACATTTCAGTAAACACTTTCACCAGAGTTAGTTATGTATTATTTTTTTAAAAGCATTTGTAATTTTGTTAAAGTGGTGTCAATGTACCTTATTACATTCCAGACTAGTTATATTCCTGGACAGGACTTAGGCAAGCACAGAGAAAATGAACTTGTTTGCATTAAATAATGGACACATGCCCATCCTGAGAAAGAAAACCATGATTTTATGGCCAATTATTCAAGTTGTAAATGCTGAAGTTTTAGGTTAGCTTGTGTTAAATACATTAATAATTTATATTGAATCAGTTATCTGTTGAGGTGAAATAAACCACCACCTGAAGAGGTTTTGCTTAAAACAACCACCACTGAATTTCTCATGATTTCATGGGTGGGTGATTTGGACTAGGCTCAGCTAGGGTGGCTCATGTCTGCTTCATGTGTATCTGCTGGGCTCTGAGACGTCTACAGTCAGCTGAGGACTGACGGGTCCTGCATGGCCTCACTGTGTGTCTGGGCCCTCATCCAGCCTGGATGGCTGATCTCTCTCCACCAAGTCTCATTCTCAAGAAGGTAGCTGAGCCTGATTAGAGGCATGGGTGTGTACAAGGCAACGGGTGAGAGTGGACACTACAGGGCCTCTTACGACCAAGGCTTGGAGGGCACATACTGCCTCTTCTGCTGCACTTGGGTAGCCAGAGAATGTCCCAGGCCAGCTCAGAATCTAGGGCTGGGGGAGTGGGTTCCACTTCTTGATGGCAAGAGCTGCAGAGATGGTGGTTGTCCACCACAACTATTCTTACATTATGGCTTTCAATCTGGCAAACCAAAGATTTTTCCTTCTTTCTTTGTGAACGTGTTCTTTAAAAAATTTTTTTCTAGCTTTATTGAGGTATAATAGACAAAAATTGTATATGTGTAAGGTGTACAACATGGTGATTTGATATATGTGTATATTTTCTTTTATATATCTATGAACGTGTGTTCGTTTAGATGGTGTGTGCCTGTCTATCCATGTATTAATTCAAGAGTACATTAACATATAAACCGTTTTCCTGTTTCATCAAGAAAACGGTCTTCCTTCTGGGACCTCAGGCTCCTATTTCAGTGAGAGTTGAATTAGTTTCTCTTACCTTGTCGTCTCTCATTGCAGCAGAGGTAAATTTACATTTAATAGGCTGAGCTCAGCTCAGATCAACCCACCAGAAGGAATTAGTTTCCAGCAAGGAAATTAGTATGAAGGTAAGAGCAGGAACAGCTGCCTGAGAAGTCAGAGACCTACGACTTCTGAACTGTGTCTGTGTCAACAGTGCTGCTGTAATACCAAGCACAGTCCTCTTTATTGAAAATATCCTGAACTCTTCTGTTGCAGAGATTAACCAAAGTGCTGACAACTTACATGTATTTATTCTGGTATGTGGACTTAGACAAGTTAAAGATCCTCTGTATCTGGTGGATGCGTTTTCAGGTATGTTTTCTCGAGTTACCTTCCTCCTGCATATATGGAATTCCATCTAGGTACATGTCTCAGTATCTCTTCAGGATTTTGAGTTTTATCTGCTCATTCTTTGCACATTAGCAGAACTGCTTCTAGAATGTTACTTTGGAAATTACCAGAAAGATAATTTATGGGATTAGTAGCTTTGTGTAGTAATTTCAGTTTAGTTTTCTACTTTTTTGTGTTCTCAGGTTCTGGGGAAATCATAAAAATAGCGAATGATTGTAATGCTAAAAGAATCTTACCTGAAGATGTTTCTTTTTCTTTTTTTTGGTGGTTGGCTGGAATGGGAATCCAAATCTTTGACCTTGGTGTTACAACACTACTCTAACCAACTGAGCTACCTGGCCAGGCCTTGAAAATATTTCACACATGCCAATTTGTATGATGTGTTTGGAGTTTTGTTTTATTACTTAAGTTAATCTTTTTATACTTCAGTATATTTTAAATGTCCATATTGAGCTGTGGTGGCATTTTAGCCTTACTTATCTAATAAATCAGAAATCTAGATAATGTGTAACATTGTAGAAAAAACATTTTGCTAAAAGCATAAAATGTTGGCTATATCAGTGAATATAATTTATTTATAATTCATTTATATCTAAGTAAATATAATATAAATTGACTAATATGAATAAAAGCAAAATTATGTGAAATAATTTATATTATGGACTAATTTGTATTGAACTTAATTGCGCTTGCATCTGTGACTTAAAACCCTTTTAAAAGTTTTTTGTTTGCTTTCTTTTTTTCTCCCCAAGAATGGCATCAAGAAGAGCCCAATGTTTACATGGTAATTGTTGGTCCTGAAGTAAGTTGATATGCTCTAAACATTTATGTCATCTGTTTTCTTCTTTATACTTTTTATGTATTCTCTAAAATTAGTTTACATTACTCTTCTAATTAAGTGGGGCTTTTTTCTCTCTTTAAGTAAAAGAAGTTTTTTTTTTTTTTTTTTCCTTTTTAAGGATGAAAACCAGACCAAGGTTAAAGATCATTACAACTACAATTAATCTTTACAGTTAATGTGTTGTAAAGATCATTGCAATTAACCTTTACAACTATTTTTTTGCTACAAAGAATAATAAATTCTTATGGAAATACAGAGGAATCATATAAAAACAAAATTATTTAAAGTTATATAAAGTGAAAATCTAAATCAGTACATAAGGCAGACATTATGTGTGGTCCAAATGGTCTTTGAAACTCCCTTAAGTTGCTCAACAAATGGACGTAGAGCTGTTTCTTCAACTGAGCATCAGATTGATTCTTGACTTGTGTTTGGGAGCCTTGTTGTATGGAACACAAGTGTCTGTAAACAGGAGAAACACACTCTGGATGGGGAGAGGTTCATACTTGACTAAGGAGGCCGATGACAGGGAACCGAGTCCCTGGAGACGTTGGAGATGCTGCCTCCTGTTCTAGGCGGATGCTGGGTTCTTCGCCTGTCCCTCAACAGATGTGGGTCAAACGCAGTCAGCTCTAAATGCTCAGGATTCAGAGAATCTGTATGGCCTCCCTGGTCGTCTCTGGAAATGAACTTTGGTTTACTCCAAGCAGTTTGGAAAACAAAATTCACTTGGGGTTTCCGGCCAGATGGGCTACAGCACTGGAAGTTACAGCTCCATTTCTTCATGGGGCTTCTGTTCAGGGTGGCTGCTGTGATCTGAATATGTGTGAATCCTCCAAATATATGTGTTGAAACCTAATACCCAATGTGATAGTGTTTGGAAGTGGGGTCTTTGGGAGGTGATTTGGTCATGAGGGCAGATTAGTGCCCTTATGAAAGAGGTCCAGAGAGCTTCCTTGCCCCTCTACCACGTGAGGACACAGAGAGAAGGAGCCATCTATGACCCAGGAAGAGGGCCTTCACCAGATGCCCAGCTTGCCAGCACCTTGATCTTGGACTTCCAGCCTCTAGAACTGCAAGCAATTAATTTCTGCTTTTTATAAGCTACCCAGCTTATGTCATTTTGCTATAGTAGCTCGAATGGACTAAGACAGAAACATGGTCTGTGGTATCGAGCAGAATTGTCGTTTCCTCCCCCCCCCCAAGGTGAATAGCTTCTCTTCCTGCCTTGCTCAGTCTTATCATGGATACTTAGTTGGTTGTGCATGTTACATGTGTGTCCATCTTTACTCTTTTGTTTCCTTTATGTAGGAGTGTCCCTGGAAATTCAAATGAATGGAATTCCACACAGCTTCTTAAACCCTCATCTGTTTTGTAATTCTTCCTTATATAGTTTTCTGGTTCCCTAGGGACCCACAAAACATGCAATGGGCTTTTCTCAGTATTCTCAAAGGCTATTGGAGATAGTATGTTTACCTGGAAAGGGCCACATAAGCTAATAAAAATATCAATGGCTAGCATCTCTGTGGCCACATTGGCTACCACATGGAAAATTAATCACCCTTAGGGCCAGCCCGGTGGCGCACTCGGTAGAGTGCAGCGCTTGGGAGTGCGGCGGTGCTCCCGCCGAGGG